GCGTAACTGAACCCGTTTCTCTTGGAGAGAGGAGAGATAACCGTACTAGTGGAACACCGAGAGAACTCCTTCTGCATCGAAACTGTTTCCCGGTCGCGTTAACGGCGGAAAATGATCGAGAGGTAGCTCTAACCGACGTCCCAATTTCCCAGACGGCAACCTGTCCCGCCAGCTGGCACCCCTCGGGACATCACGGTTTTCCCTCGTGACCCAGCAGCAGCCTAGTCTCTCCCTCTCTCTTCCGTTCCACTCCTTCGTATTCATCCCCTGTCCACCCTTCACCGACCGATCTTTCCCGTATACCACGTCCGAGGGTTATGGTTCAGCATAAATCTACCTATAACGGCCGGCAAAACTATTCGTCGACGTTAGACCATTTCACGTGGCTCCTCCGTGACATAAACGCGAGACGTAAATCGTTTGCCTCAGACGGACATGGATTAGTTACCAACACGAGACGCTTCATTTACCCTCGTTCTTAATCTTCATTGGCCTCTCCCTCAGCAATTAATTCGACCTCCAATCAAACAATCTCCAAATAATAGAAACGTTTGACTCCTTTCCAAGACATCATTCTACATCTTTTCTTGATTAAGCATATGTTGCCATTCGTTTCCGTTGATATAAATACAATTGGTGGAGTTCGAAATTTCTGTCGGAATATTCGTCTCTTTGACCCGAAATTTTGCGAACGGAGACAGCTGTCGATTGGGGAAACTTTGCGCTAATTACTTGGACCGCGATTAACCCACGGATCGTAATATATCATTGAGAGGAAGGGTGGTCTGTTGAAAGACACCGGATTAAGCAGTAACGAATCGATCCTTCGAGCTACCATTTATCAAATCGCTCCTCGGCTTCATTTGTTTCTCAAGTGATTGGTTTCCATCGCGGCTTAACGAGGAGAAACCCTTAATATATCCGCGACCGACAGATGTTGAAGAAATCCAATAGTCGGTTATATGTTTTCACTTAATAGAACGTAACAATCGCGTGAACGGTCTTTAACGTGTTGAAAACGAAAATTCTCTATTATCTCACAAATTTTCCATACGATTGCACACGTGCAAAACTTTACAATCGTCAATCCGTATTCATATCTTCTCAACCGGTATCGCGGTCTCATTTCACAGTTACGTGAGTCGCGGCGAATTTGAATTACTATTCCCCGGCGCTTTGCGAATGAATCTGTCTTCTCGTCGCGTATCGCGGTAGAGGCGTTACATTTATACACGCCAGTTTGTAACTGGACGCCGACGAGGGTGTGTGAGCGACTGTCTATGGCGGAAGGCGGTAAGGCGATGGCTCGGGTAACTTTGTCGGCATGCCAAGAGGATAGGGATACGTGCGGATAGAACCGACACACGACCGAGCAAATAACCCAGTTTCTAAAGGATGGCCGCGGGGTTACGCAGCAAGGTAAACCGGGGCTAGCCTACGTTACCTGAAGAGTTTCAGAATAAAGTACTGTACATTATAGGCCGGTAGTCGTCGTGAACACGTTCAGAAAGGCGAATAGTTCCGGCGCGCATGCGTTCCGGTTCGCACTCGAATAATTTCAAAGAGAGAAACGGACTGACGGAGCCGGGAAGGGAAAAGCGGGTGATAAAAAAAGGTGATGGAAGGAGGTAGATAGTGCTAGTAGAAGAAATAAAACCCGTGCGAGAGTGGAAAAAGCAACGGAAAGGGTTGAACGCGAGGGGCTGGCTCTATCCCTTTAAAGTGTTATGTTTGAAATTGCGTTCCGCGGGAGCGTTATTAAATTAAGTAAACCGCAAAAAAGTTTCTTTCGAGCTGGCCCGCGTACACGACGGTATGCTAGTCCTGTAGTTACAGTCTGAGCATTGCCGAGTGGCATATATGGGAATTAATACCGCCAAGAGGAAAACCACCCCTAGCCACTCCTTCATCCCTTTTCCATTTTCCACCACGAACACCAACCAACATCGACTGCTTAAATTTGCCCGTTTCCATTCCTAATCTCCTGCCGATATGCTTTTAATTTTATTATTACGATAAGTCAATATATACTTATCAGGTCGGATCACCGATGCAGAATAAAGATATTTCTTCGAAATAACGAGAGCATATTAAAAGAGAATTTATTTCCGATATTTTTCACATCGGTTCACAACGGTGTCGGTAATAATTAAAGCATTAAACGAATCCATCGATTGCGATCGACGGACCATTGCTAATTTCCATAGCGTGAATATTATTACACGAGACTACCCGTGGCCAATTAACCAGATAATAATATCTCGAATTTCATTAACGAAGGTAGACATTTAAAATTTTTATCGGACGTCTTCTCGATTCGTTTATTAATTATTCAAGAGAAAGGGTGAACTTCCGCACATTTCAGCAAAAAACAAAGGTCTCTCTCCTCGCGACGCGACGGTAAGAAAAAGGGACTAACTTTCGTGAAACTTCGTGAGCAGTTTTCTACGTAATAAAGAAAGCACTCGTAAAGCGATTGACTTCTCGCAAGGAGTCCGCTTTGATACTCGTCCCTTCGTCTTTTTATTCGCGGAAAGTTTGACAGTCTTGGCGGTCGCCGCGGGAAAGGGTTTCGTTGTCGACTACCATCAAGAGAAAAAGAACAAGTGGGCCCAAAGTTGCAGATTTATCAAAGACGAGAAAACAGTGAGAACTTCTATCGATCACCTCATTTCTCTAACTATTTTTACTGTAAAACAAGTGACTCTAAATTGAATTACATTCATGAATTATCGATTAACGTGATTACGAAAGAAACACTGATTGCGATAAATTAATACATCTGATCATTAATTCCAGATAATCGAGAACATGCGCTTAATTATAAATCCCGCAGTCAGCCATGTGTAGACAAGCATTATTAGCTTGCTTACAATCCTTATTACCTTTCTTCCCAAGTAAAAGCTAAGAACCATGAGCAGCATCATTAAATCGTAATTATCAAAGAACAAAGGTGCTTAACCGAACTATATCTTATAAAAGAGCAACTTTTACGAGGGTCGTGTAACAAGAAACTTTAATCCACCATTCGTTTTTTTTACGGGCAGGCAGAAACAGGTATAAATATTCCAGTACTCACCTGTGACGTGTTCGTCGCAAAAGTGTTATGGTGCACCACTGGTAGACTGCCACTATCACGGGTTTACGCCCGAACAAGGAAATCATGCTTCTATAAAACCTGCGATCCAAAAAAAATCAGATTTTAACAATTTGACTGCAAACGCATGGAAAACATTCTTTTTGTTTATACAAGTTTCACGGCATTAATTAACGTGATCAATAGATATAGAAATTCTGTGCCTGTTGTTTTCGCCTTTCAAAGTAAATATGTGCCTTTTAAAGTAAATATAAAATAAAAGTAAAATATGTGATTCGTTGTTACGAAGGTAATTTCCAAGGTAAATGGAACGTTGTAACTTTACTCGGTGGAGGATCGGATCGTTGCGCGTGCAATATTGCATTCGTCAACGACGCTTTCCAAGTAGATAGTAAAGGAAGGCGAACAGAATTGTCGTACGTACGCTTTCGCGTATCGACCGATAGAATTTTATCCAACACGCGAAAGAGTGGCTCCGGTAAACACGCATGATTACGATAAATCTCAATGGAAAGCCAATTACGTGTTCGAAGCGAGTCGAAGTTACCGGGCGAGCGTTAATGGGTTCAAGTGAATGGTACAGTAAATTGCACTATCTCCGGGTGGTGTACTACACCGGTAAATCTACCCGCGAAAGTATATATTCAGTGCGCGTGTCCTCGTAAATCCGCGAGGGGTGCGACCGGAGCGAGCAAAAAGTGGATGAGACGGAAAGAAAGTCGCGACGCTGTGTACATTTTTCGCGGACGCAGCCGTCGTAAAAGTCGTGAGGATCGATGTGAAAATTTATTGCAATGTTTCATTCGGCCGGAGAATAAATAACGCTTTTCACCGTTAACGATCCCAAAGCATACGTCGGTTGTCACCCTTTAAATGCGTGACAAACTCTTGGCAAAGAGAGTCATCCTCTTTTTCCGGCGGAATCAAATATATCTTTATGTACATCTTCGTCCATTAGGCTCAGAACATATAAAACGCATAACCGAATGAAAGTACAAATAAACCCAATTTAATTCATTTTAAAAATTGTTTCATAACTAATTTAGAATATTTGTCAGGTTTTCTTAGTAGTTATTAAGCACATGGAACATTGTCTTAGGCTTATGGGCGAGGTTTCTAATAAAGACAAACACTTTTCGTTTCGGTGTCTAAAAATGCGTCGATCGCTCAAATATTCTTTAGATCACGTCGAACCGCAAGGCCACAGAGAAAGTGCGGCTTCCCTTGATTTCCCGCAGGACTCTGTCAATGGGACAATCTACTACGATTTCTGGACGGTATTGTTCTCTCACGTGTGCCGTTTCGCCCCGGAATTCCTTTGCGGATAGAATTTCCTCTACGCGAGAATAGTTTCTCTTCAAGAAGCGGTAATCGGAAAATACTCGGTTAAAGAGGGAGCTTTCGCTTTTCGTAACTGAAATTTTATATTTAACGAGAGGGAAACGCGTAATTACGACGAAACACGTGTAAAATCGCTTAACAGCCGGATGACGACGGTCCTCCGTTTCTCGGCTGTGAAAACGGCGAACGAGACACGTCTGGACGCGGTTAGTTAACCATGCTATAAATACGACCGCGCCGGCATAATATTATTTTTGCAAAGAAACGTCTTGAACACGACGCACCGTCTCTCACCTCCCTCCACGTTCGCCCCGTTCTTTTAAAATTTAACCGTGAATCGCGCAGACATAACCAGCTGGTAATAGATTGGACAAAACCATGTATATTAAAAATAAACCACCAGTTACGAATAACTCTGTCTACTTATGTTACTTAAGAAATTTCATAGCATCAGGATATGTACTATATACATATCATGCTGTACTATATATACTAATTGTGTATATAATCTGTTATGTATATTTGATGCATATAACAGATTTGTTTGCTTGGTTGTTTGCAGATGCGCGGAGGGCTTTACGGGTCTGCGGTGCGAGACGAAGGACGTCAGCAGCACCGGAAGTGTGTACAACCGGCGTAGGGCGCCGTTTTCCTGCAAGCTGGGACTATCGACCTCGTACTACTGCTAGCGATAATCGCGCGGGGCCCTTCCATTAATTCTGAGTAGACCCTTTTCTAAACGTTTGAAAACTCGGTGTACTACGTACTCGAAATGGAAAAAAAGCATGCCTCTCTCGAGATCACGAGAAGAATTGTCGTGAGAGGGCCAACGCGCGACCAAATTAGCAAACGAGGAGGCGAATTTAACTTATAGTAACGATCGATCGATCGGACGGGATCGAGCGAGATATATCTTCTTACCCGCGAACGGGAACGCACGTGACAACTTTTTGAACAGAGGAAAGAAAGAAAGAAAGAAAGAAAGAGACACGGGGGATCGCGCGAATTTCTCGGGAATCGTTGTTGTCGGGCATTAGAACGAGTCCTCTGTATTGTAGGAACGGGTTCCATGATCCACTCTTTTCTTTCTTTTTCGGCACCGGGCATTCGTTCCCTCCTTCTTTCTCTTCGTCCGTTTCTAACGAGCATCTTCTATACTCTTCTCCCCTCGATTGTATCGCTCATACATCGTCGTCGTGATATCAGAAATTTTATCTTCACGAGGAAAAGCATGCGCAGGTATGTGTATGACGCGTGTGCACGTCCGAGGGCCTGTGCAAGGGAGAAAGAATGACGGCGGAATTTTTCTTCCGCGGCTAAACCCCTTCAGTTTCATATCGGGAGGACCGAAAGAAGAAGAGAGCGTTCGAGTGACGCTCGTGATTCAGAAGTGGTACTTGACCTACGAACCGCCGCCGATGGAGAACGCGAAGAAAAAGGAAGAGGGAACCCAGACAGAAGAACGGTCGAAGGTCGCACTTTTCGGAGTCTCCACTGGAGAACAATACCAAAGAGCCCAGGGTCTCAAACGTGAAGAACGTCGTGAGAAAAATGCGGGATATACATATTATGTCGTCTACGTAAATTCGTGCAAGAAAACTGCTGCGAGAGGATTGCATACGGTTTTCACGGAGGAAGAAGCGATACTCGAAACGCGTCGAGGACGTTTGACGATCAATAGGATTTTCAGACTCGTAGGCGCGACTCGAGATTTCGCGATCCTCTCGATGACTTTTCCCTTTCTCCGGTAAAAAATCGCGTCGTTATTCGCGGAGAGGGTTTGGCACCTTATATTGTGTCGTTGTTGGAAAATGTGGGCCACGCACCCGTTCAATCGAGCGAGGTTAACGAAAGATGAGCACGCGCCCGAGCGTCTGTCCTGAAAAACAGGTCTAACGACGCCAAAAGAGAAACTCCGGAGAGCCGGGCTGAATATATGTATAGAGTTCGAAACGTCTGCCCGAAAATTTGTTCGTATTTTTATGCCGCTGCCGAGACAATTCGAGAAACGCCTCTCTTGTCCCGTCGATTGTGTCGCGCGGCCGGAATAAATATCGTGATTCACTCGCCTCGCCGGTTTCAACTCGCTTCTCAAGAAATTTTCCAGCAACGATTGATAAGGGCCGTAACCTCTTTACGAATGTAAAAATAACGTCGCGGGAAACGAGAAACCGATTGGCCGGTCGATGAAAGCGAGAAAGGGAGAGAGTGAGAGTGAGAGTGAAAGAGAGACCACTAGGCAAAAACAATTTTATGTAAAATATAATAATGTAATAAGCGTTAGATTAGGTAATGCAGAGACTTAAGGTAGTTAAAAACGATAGAGAGCGTGAGAAAGGAAATAAATGAGAGGAACCAAAATCTCGCTACGATTAGGAAACGGGCACGCGCACGTTCGGTCGAGAACTATCAGAAAGAGACGATTGGATAAAGTCGAATCGCGTTAAAATTTGTACTTTATTCAACTTTTTCTTTCACGATTTTTGTTGCTAGTTTACTTACACTTTTATTTCGGACCATGAAACGCGAGTTCTTTTCGACGACTACCGGCAGGAAAGTGGGGTAGTAATATTTTGGACGGATACGATGGCGACTCGATCTCTTCCGGAATTCTCGACTTTACGGGTTGGCAGGAAGAGAAAAGAAAAGATCGTGCGAAGGAAAATAGCGTGAAGATGGGAGGGGGGCATGTGGGATGCGCGCTGTGCTCCAACAGTCTCGGGACCCTATTTATGTTTTATATTATATTATATATATTATATATATATATAAATATGTGTATAAACATTTTTAATTTATTTATTTAATTCATTAATTTTATTGATTTACGATTAAACGTCATCTCCATCTCGGCAATCGCTTTTGTTTTTTAATCTTATTGCGTCGTACCTTTATTTCGTTACTTTTTTGTTCCGAACATTCTTTCGTTCACGGGTTAAACGTTAAGTTTCCCTCGGTTTTTCGTTAAAACGCCCAACAAGGTAGGTGTACGAATTTTTATTTCTTTTATTACGCAGCCCACCCCCCCGATTCGGCGAGAAAACTCGCAACAAGGGCTGGAATGGGTGACGATCGTACCGATTAAGTTCCCCGGAGTTTCCGACAATGTCGCGTCGAAAATCTCGTTGCGAGAAGACAGGCGGAGGGGGAAAGGCAAATACAACGGCGCGCGGAACGACCGATCCCCGAGACAAAAGATTTTCCTCCCTCGAAGAAAGTTCATAGACGGATTCAGGCCGCGGAGCGGAAACGAGCCCGCGTCGCGACGAAAGAACCCTCGAAGAAAGCCAATAGAAATTTTCATAGCTAGCAAAGTGTTTCCCCCGTCCGCCTTCAGTTTCTTATTGCATTCCAGCGAGTCGTTTCGAGAGAGAACAAGTCACTTCACAACCCCCTGCCCCAAGTCCCGTGCCCCATGCACCATTCCCCGTGGAAAATAGCTTTTGCACGTCTGTTCCCAAGCGGGGGAGAACGAGAGGCGATAAACAACCCGGCGAATGAGAGCGTGACGTTTCCGTTTTCATTTCGAAATTGTCAAAGAACCATGCTACAATCAGAAGGACCGATTCGATGCGCGAGAACAACGTTATATAAATGGAAAAGGGAACGAAACAACTCGCTGGAAAGCGTGTCAGGCCACGAAACGACGCATTCCGCGAACGGATACGTCGTAAACAGCGGCAAGTATCGTATAAAACTCGAGCCGCACGATCCTCGTAACCGCAACTCCTTAATCGAACTTTTCGTCTCGATAGGAACTTCTTTTCCGATCACTAGACTACGGATTTTATGCATTTATAGAAAAATTTTATGCGCAAGAAATACGGAGAATGCATGTAACGTGCAAGATTATGTGCAATATCGCAGATCAACATAAGTACGTCTCATTATTTTTTAGAGGTAAAAGAAATCTCAATTTACGTTTCTTTTTTTAGCATCACGAAAATACTCCTTATAAAAATCCGCAGTTTATTGAATATCAAGAAAATAGATCCTATTGCGAAACGGAGTACACCGAAGATCGAGATCGATAAAAATTCCTATAAAAAGTATGATAATTTATGGACGAGCCGAGCCAACAAATAATATAAACCAATATACAACGTCTGACAGCTGCTTGAAATTAAAAATGATTTACATAGTACAAGAGGAGCTTTTCCTTCGGCGAGGAGAATAATGCGAAATAAATTCGATTCGTTCGGTCCGAAGGAAGAACGGATCAGGAATCAACACGATAATGGAAGCAGAAATATCGAGTCGCAGTCCGCTCTGATAGATTCGCTGACACATCACAATAAAAAACTTCTTCTCCAGAAAGAAGAACTTGCCACGAAAAAAATTCCACCGAAAACCGATGCTGTTGTTAACTTCCGCACGCGATTTTTTATCGTCCGCTTTATTCTTCCAGCGGATCTTATTCCCCCGTGCTTTTGCCATGCCGATTTCAGTGAAAAACGCGGTCACGTTCGCCGAGTGAAATAAAACGTATGAATACCTAGCTACCGGACCGAGTTGTATTAAACCTGTCTCGCGCATGTACGCGAAGAGAAATTGCTTCTTACGCTGTTGGCCTCGGCCGCGAAATTTATTCGCTTTTCATCCCTCGTACGTACAGAGTGACTTAAGAAGAATCGCTATTTAAAATAACAGAGCATTCTGATTCTATTAGCAACTCTTGAGAAAATCGATTATCATTTCTTTCGAGATTATTCAACAAACTCCATTAAATATTGACTTTATATAAAACTTCTAATGTAATTAGAGAATTACCAGTTGGGTCATATGATTATTCTCATCGATTCACCCTATATATTAGCTAGTTTTTTCTACAAGTATTTTGGCACAACATAAACTACAGGAAATCTCTGGCGATCAAAAAAGGGTTAGGCACGAATTTTCTGAAACATTGCCAATGATTAATCGCAGCGTGCTAATTATCGAAAAGGGATCCATCATTAGAACACTTGGGAAATTTGGGAAAATAATGAGCCGGGTAAACTCGCGAGGGAGTAAACCGACGCGCATCTGGGAGAAAATAGAAGACCGTCAAGACTTTTTTTAACGTTGTGTTAATTAATTATCGTCATCGGATACGTTACTCGTACGGCAACTTTCCGAACAGAGGGGTGAGGAAACACCACGCGTGTTCCGTAATGGTAACAAGATACACACCGCAAACCGAGGTGAGATAACTTTATTTGAAGAGCGTCGCGACCAAAGCCAAAATTCATGCGTCAACGTCCCGGTCCTTCCCGAGGGATATCCATCGTTGACGTCGCGACGCGACGCCCAGAAGCCGAATACGTGATTTCGAGCTTGGCTGTCCAGCCAGAACACACGTCCACGCATGAACGTGCTGTTAACCTACGTGTCCGTTTAATTGGGATCTTATGAAGCCTATAAACGTTCCGATTGTCCTACTGGATTACGACCGGCCAAACGTTATGTTGTACATCATTACAAAATCGTAATCAAGATCGTGAATAAACACTTCCTTCAATGTGAACTATTCATCCCATGTTATAATGTTTGTATGAGAAACATCAGAACAAATTGTAATAACATGTGTTTTCTCCGGCTAGAGCGGGCATGAAAAACGGTTTAAGTAAAAATTGCCAGTC